GACCAATAAGCGTCGACAAAGTTGCTGTGTTTATCAAATGCACAGCAACAAGCTATAGTGGTAGACAAATCAATCGAAGGCGTAATACTTCAGTTGCTGTACAACCGCATTGAAAAAGGGCATGTCACTTGAGGCTTGAGGGCAGACCGAAGAAACATGATATGAACAACTGCTCACCTGACTGTTGAGGGCGGTTTGGAAGACCTTAATGAGAGATTGACGACTCGCGTTGTCCAAGTAATTATTTATAAACGGCGTTGCACCAATTGACGAACCAATAAGGAGTGTAAAGAATATCGCAGAAAACATGGTCGTCATCTTCGATTACCCTTTGCCTGCAATAAATCGCAAATGAATAACGAATATGGAAAACACCTTGAAATTCTGCGAACTGGTGAGTGTGCTTGGAGATATTTCTAAAACTGTTCACAGCACATGCTCTCGGTTGTTTTCAAATCTTAGAACACCGCTAAATACTCTGTCTCAAGCGATAAAAGTGTATGGCAGATGAAATTGTGACATCAGAGATGAGAACCAGAAGGAATTCGGCAGATATATGAACAAAACGCTAAAATTGGTAAAAATTTTAGTACATTAAACGCAAAGTCCGGCGCTCTGCTATTATGCTGAGATCTTAATGCCAAAATTCAAAGAAATATAAATTGAATTAACAAAACGACACCACTCAATCGTCGTTTCAACAAAAAAGAGAAGGAAATAAATTTTAAAAAGTGAAATTTTCAACATTTTAAACGCTTTGCATGTCTATGAGACAGTGCATTAGCGCTGCTAGCTGTTATCTGTACTACCGTAAATACTTTACGTGTCATTTTGCTTGAATTTTGAGCTGAAAAATTCATTCAGAGAGTATTGTAACTTTAAAATATTTCAAAATCAGTTTAGTATGAAATTCTGTTCAAATAGTACATCACGTGGTAAAAATATTCAATACCGAGCCCTTTCATGAATACTGCATGTGTGATGCATTGATGACATCTTCAGCAGGACAATTTGACGCAAATGAGTTAGGAATTGTGTCATCATAACAAGAAAGAAACGAAGAGAACACGAAACTTGGAGTACACGAAACATTTATTGAATATGTCTGGTGACGTCTTTGAAATAAACACTGTGAACGGAAGGAAGGAAACTCATTCATTTCCGAATCTCTCTTTCGAGCAGTTATTCACTTTTGCCATAAGTTTGATAATTTTGTTCAGATCGACACCTGCAATACTACATGCATTCGAACCTCAATTAAATGGCAAAGTAGACTATATTTTGGAACGAAATTCGTTGCTAACCGAACTTTTGTAGATGTTCAGTGAAAATCAAAAAATTGCGCCAATTTAAAATTTTCTAGTAACAACCAATACATACGACCACCTTCTAACCGCCAACACTATCATGGAATGATTTTCGCCAGTCAGACAGGTTCCAATCTCACGTTTCGTAGGCGAAGCGGTACGAATTCAACTCATCTTCAGTCCAGGCCATGTCTGAGGCGGAAATTTCCCAAAACCATTAGCCGAAAACGGAGGGATCCACCATAGCGCAAAAATTCGAATACGATCGCGACACTTGTTGTTTCAACCAAAAGAACCTCGTTACGTCTTTCGGTTATTTTTAATTTTAGCTGGAGGAATACTTTTTCTGTGTCTGCTATTATGATTATCGATGGGATTGTGAATCTCAATCAGATACCACACAAATCTGGAGGGAGTACTGGTCCTGAATACAAACATTCGTTTAGCACCTTTTCTCCATTCTTTGCTCTGGCTGAAACATCAAAAACGATTGTTAGCTTCGTTGTAGTCTTTCTTGGTGTTAGAACTGGATGTCGGGAAAAATAATGAAGCGGACCATTCGCTTTTTTATCTTCCGAAACTTCCTCAATTATGCCTAATAAACGCTCTTCTTCTCGTAAATTACCCTCACAAATCTTCAAGAGACCTGGTTTAAACTCTAATCTTCTCATTAATGATATCAAACCACCTAAGCATAATCCATAATTACGTAGTAGTACCTGCGAGCCTTCTTAACTACGGTAACTAGCCACGGCCACAAATTACGGTAGTTAGCCACCCCCGCACTTAACGAAAACCTTACGAATCGAGTAAAGACATGAACAGTTGAAAAATCAGAAACGGTCACACACATTTATCTGTTTAAGT